TACATTTACTACAACTTGACAACTTTACTGCTAATTTCTCCTCTGCTCTGATCGCTAACACCTATGTATGATGAGCGTAGACATCGTCACTCTCTCTGTTGCTAAACCACACACGCACACACGCACACACACACACACACACACACACACACACACACACTACACCAGTCCTAAAACTTAAACCTGCAACTTAATAGTACTCTGCTAAAACTTCCTGTAGTCTGAACCATCCAAAAATATTTTCACACCAAAAACAAACCAATTGCTGATGCTGATCAAGACCACCTCTTTTTGTTGGATCAAAGTTCAGCTGCTTGGCTCTAACCATGGTTCGGGGAGGGTTTCAAAGCTCTAATTTTGTTTGGCATTAAAGTGAAAAGTCCAAGAGTCAGGACCAAACAATGTGTGAAAGAGTCACGAGTCTTGTTAAATTATAAACTGCTCAAAACATTTGAGTCATGATATTTGTAACAGAACTGAAGGATTACCTTGCGTTGCAAGTTCGTTCAATATTTCGCTGACAAGTCTTGTAGACTTTATTTTCTGGACATTTATATTCTACAACAAGAGAAAATAGATTTAAAAATCGCTATAATGAAAAAAGATAATCGGGACATCTCAAAATAACAATGTTAGCTTTCTACTACAACTAAACCCTCTTACCGCACTCTCCGTTTGTAGCATTCCTCCAGGTTATGCAGACAGATGATTCAGCACACTGCAAGGCGTATGCCTCCATACTGGAACAACCGAAGGTGGAATTTTGCATGTGGCAAACATCAAATCTGCAGGCTTCATAAAACGGCTGTGGATGGACTTTTTTGTGGCATTCCTTAAACACACTTAGTGTACAAATAAAAAGAAAGTAGGATGTTAATCAGAGTGATACTCCAATATAAACTGATATATTGTGATAACATTTTTTCCGTAAATTCTTACTCGCTCAACAAAATTTCACAGTTAGCAGCTTTGCAGGGTCGGGGTGTAGGTGTAGGTATCGGTGTTGGAGAAGGTGGTTTCTCACAATATGGCTTATCCTTATCTGGTACTTGCCACTTTCCCATATGAGAGCATGAGGGATCTATCTGGCCGTTTGGTAATCTGCAGTCATTTTTTCTCTTATTGTCACAGGTACCTTGTGAAAGTAAATATTAACAGATTACAACCCATGTGTTACCACATTAGGTACATCCATTGACACTTTAATATTAAATCTAGCACTACTTTGTGTTTCCATCTGTGAACGTCACACAGCCCATCATTTTCTGTCCAACCAGTTGATTCTAACTGCTTACCACACTGTCCCTCTGTGTTGTTGTGGAAAAGGGAAAACGGCAATTCCACAGAGAATAAAAGCCCTTTGAACTGCACAATTGCTTCAATTTCCGGGATTCTCAAACGTAGCTCAATTCCTGTACTTGTTATGATGAAGTCATCATTGGTGTAGGTTGGGATTACCTGTGTGCCGTTAATAAACACCTGAAAAGATTGCAACATTAGTTAGGTGAAACATTTTTTCATCATCATTATCACTGTATATTCAAGTAAAATAATTAGTAAAGAAACTTCGTTAAGGCAAAATTCACCATGTTCACGGTCCCGAATATTCTATCCTGTGTAAGAATAACTTCATGGTTTTTGTAATACACGATCAAGGATTTAGCACAGGTCACAGTTCCAGAGGCGTCACAGTTTTCGTTGTTGATAAGAATCTTAAAATTGTGCCGAGGAATGATCTCTTTGACCAGTACATATGTGCAGTTTTTCTGGAAGCTGTAATACTGGCCATCAAATGACAAATAATGAGGATCTCCCCAGCCGCCGCAAATACCTGCAAATATTATTTTGAGATTTTATCGAGTGTCAAATCAAAGAACAGCTGTATATATTGCAGGTTTGTTTTGTAGTGTAGCAGTTTAAAGATGTGAATTTGAATTTGACATTTTAAATTTTAAAAGGCTTAAATTTAAACTTACATCTGCATTCATAGTGGAAACAGCAGCCTCCTTCATCGTAAACCCTGACTGGTTGGTGCCTATTTTCACATACGGGCATGGTCGATTCTTTACATGGCACATGTTCTGTTATTACTTTTCCATTCTCACATGTTGCTGTGGTGCAGTTGCTTGACCTCCAGGTATCACCGTGCTGTAAAGGACAAGGTAGTACTGTTAGTAATCTAATATCAGTAAATTAAGTATTGCATTTTGGTTGCACACAGCACACATTTATATAATTCACAAAACAAGATTATTTTACATAGATCAATGGTTATGAAATAAGCGACACGCACACGTGTTATTATCAATACCAATAATGGGTTGAAATTCTTTAATAATTATGCTGGATTTATTTGTAGATGTCCTTTAGCTACATACGAGGCACTCAGCAATGTGACATAATTTAAACTATTTTATTCATGAAGCTGTTTACTTTGTTAATATAATAATACCTTGTTTTGTTAATTTGTACATTGTGAGTTGGTCTTATGGTGTGTTTGAATGTGTTTTTATGTTGTCTGTTAATGTGATGTGTGAAAAGACTCCAGGAAGAATAGCCTCTGTTTGATTAGGCTACTGGGGACCCTTAAAAGAAAAAATAAAACTGAATTAAACAAGGTTAGTGGTTCGCACTGTTGCCTCAAAGCATGAGGATTCTGGGTTCAAACCCACTGTCCAGCAGGGGCCCTTCTGTGTGGAGTTGTTTGCATGTTCGCTTCATGTCAGCATGGGTTTTCTCTGGGTTCTCTGGCATTCTCCCACGGTCATAAACATGCAGGTTAGGTGACTTTAATTTGCCCGTAGGTGTGAATGTGAGCATGCATGGTTGTCTGTCTCTATGTGTCAGCTCTGTGATAGTCTGGTGACCTGTCCAGGGTGTACCCCGCCTCTCACCCAATGTCAGGTGGGATAGGCTCCAGCCGTATAAGAAAAAACATATGTAGTTTTGAATTTTGGAGGCAGTACATAATGACAGATTTA